CTGAAGTCGCGCCGATGGGTGCCTGGAGTTTCAACTTTCGCAGTGACAGACCCCACTCCGATGGACTGAGTCGGCTGACAAGGAAGAGTACCACTGAAACGCCCAAGTAGGCGAAACTGATACACATCCAGATCTCTGTGGAGAGGGGTTCCATGAAGCTGAGTACGTCCGGTGTGGGTCTTTCGATTTTTTGATACATTACACTGAGTCCGAGCTCCATGAAGGGCGTCGAAAAGTCAACAACACGTTCTCGGCTCGAAGTGATTGTCAACGGAGCGACCACTATGTCTGCTTCCTATTGGAAGAAGGGAATAGAAGCGATTACATTGAAACATGTTAAGGTTTTGAAACCGTGTCTACCTGAAATCAAAGAAATGGAAGAAGTGAGCAGAAAGGCCCAAGCCGGGCTAAGATGCAGCCATCCCTGAAATCCACCTACACCCTGAAATTGCGAACCCAATTCCAATTATATTATATTTGAAAATTCTATTTGACAAACATAAATTTTCGACCATTCACAATCGAGCCAGTTCAGTTGCGTGGATAATAAAATCAAACAGTTGAACAGACTTTATGATATAAAAACTGATATTTTTCATTCCGCTGGTGGAGGGGACAGCTAGGATATGCTGTGAGTACTGGTCAAGGATCGAATACGTGGAGTGAAAAGTAATGCCACCTTCACAGAGTAGACAGTCATCTTTAGGGGGTGGGGACGATGTGTGATCACCATCCGGCGTCATTTTCGGGCACAGAAGTTGTAGTCCCTGTATTAGCGTCTTCCAATAATCTAACACTGTATTCGCTAGCCTTTTATCCACTGATACGGCTTTTGCTAGCATCGCTGGCTAAGACCCTTGGAGAAGTTGGCTGGTGTCTGGTAGACAACCTGAAAGGCTTCGTGAGAATCGACTCGGGATTTATATTGACACGGTGTGCGATAATAGAACTCAAGATTGATCGAGTTTCACCTCTGCTTAGCCAGGCCGGCATGTGTACATGTACCCTATTCTCCAGACTCCTCGATGTTCAGTCAGCTGTGCTACTCTAATTATCCACGCAGTTGTACCGGCCAAATGATGCACTGCCGAAAATATATGTCTGCCAAATAGACTTTTCCAATTTTTAATGAAGTTTATCGCCAGAGCTAATTCCTTATAATATCACCCTATATTGGCGCGCCTAATTATGAATTTGTATTTCTTAATATATCCGGTGTCACTTCAGTAGTAATCCTTGTTTTTGTAACATTAAGTTATTGTAATAATACTTTCTATCATAGAAACAGCAGTAAATTATCATCATGTTGCCACGTGTTACCATGTAATCTCTCTACTTGACTTTATTTCATCAGCCGCCACCAACCAAGCATATAAGTCTCACAAATAAAAGAGAAAATTCCCGTTCCAGGTGTTTGTCTGGGTAAAGGAAGAGGCTTGTCGAGCAACGGAACAATTGGGTTATTGGTCTGAGTTTTGAAATTCTTATAGAAGTTCATCATCAAAGGTTAGCTTCATAGCCGTCAATATTTTTTTCCACGCCGGAAACAAGAGGAGCCGAGAACTGATTGAAGCTTAGTTCACTACTAGCAACTCAATCAATCGGTGTATCGATTTGGCGCCGGCGAACCCAATAATGCGCAGTCATGTCCGGATGTGCGTCATTGGCAATTGATTGGTGTGTATCCCTGTAATTTTGCCTTTTTGCTGTTTCTTACGTCTGACGATAAGTTCTTGTCAATGATGGGAAGCTCGCTTAAATAAACCAAATGTTTCCGTCCTTGACAAGGCTTGTCCTTTACCCATATACTTTTCAGGTTTGGCGGCAAACCGGCGGTTGTAGAAAATACAAAATACCGGTGAAAATACTGGCCGAATTTTCGGTTCGAAATCGATAGCCGAATGCAGATATCTACAAAACCAATTGACATGGATATGAAACGCGCACTTGTTATATTTACGCCTTTCTATGAGCACAGGCAAAATGTACCTGTTAGGTGATAAAAGGATATTGTCGTTTAATTATAAAATGTGGGGAAACTTGCCTTGTGAACCAATTCACCAATCATGCCGTTCCAAGATCCATTTATATAGGCGCCGAACTGACCATCAGAGACAACCTTCAGTTTATATTTGAACTTGATCAGCTCCGCCAGTTTGTCCACTAGATCGACGCAGAAGCCCTCATACTTGCCTTCGATGACGTTTCCATCTTCATCTTTCACTTCCATCATGAACGGCGGCACCTTAGGGAGAGGAGAACTCAGTTTAAGCATTTACTTTTCAAACTAACTGCAGATGCGTAAAGTCAAATAATGTCCGCGAGCTGACCCAATGACACGGCGCGTCGCGCAAGGCACCATAGATTTTAGGGTTGTGGTCAAGTGTAGGGCGGAGGGTAAAGTAAATATTTGTTCAAAGCCTTGTAGTGACCTATTCCTAATTTGACGCCTAACGTCTTGCTTCTCATGCCTGCTATCACATTCAAACCGGTGTCTATCGATTACAGTCCGATCTAACCATCCCTCTTCACTGCTGCGCCCTCGCCCTTATCACGCGACCCCTCTTGGTTGCAGACGCATGCTCTTCCAACGCCAGAACTCGTGCAACATGCCGACCTGTGCGAAAGATTGGTACTCTTTTGCTAAACGGCATTGACTTAGATTGTGAGACTGATTATTATGTAGTCTATGCTGAAGTTATCTCAGGCATTAAAACATGTGGGCTTTTTAACGAGCTTCGTTTTGGCGACTAAAAAAACGTACTTTACTGTAAAGAGTAAATTCTAAAATACTATGCCTTTTTATCATTAATTTTGACTGCCTTTATAAATTCTTACATATTTTATGGAAACAGTTCACGAAAGAATTATGTATTGCACTCACTTGGTAGCAAATTATGCCTTCTTTAAATTTTATGTTTCAATAAAGGGTATTCTTCGGTTTTAGAATAATTTCTAGTCATGAGCTTTTTAACGTCTGTGAGGTATTCATGCGTAGTACATCGTACCCGTCAATCTATTAATGCTGCCCATACTCTATAAAGCATTTTCTTCATCTATTGCAACATTTTATGAGAACTATGTGACTGCTTCGTTAAACCGTAGGCGAGAACGTACTTTTCCTTAAGCAGGATGTACACAGTGCGCAGTTTGTAAACCTTGAATTCGAGTGTAGCAGTCAGTAAGTTTCAAAATTATTCGGCCATTTTGAAATATTTTTAAAACCAAAACATGCGCTTTCTTTAAGGAGGAAATTTAAAGAAGGCGTAATTTGCTATCAAACAAGTACAAGGCATAATTTCTTCGTGTATGTTTTCCATAAAACATATTTGAATTTATAAAGGCAATCAGATTCAATGATAAAAATGCATACTATATACGTAGTTACTTTTTATCGTACACACCTTTTGTTAACAATCGGAATTAAGCTCGTTAAAAAGCTCGCATCCAATCATGACTCGAAAAACTTTAGAATAGACCACATGATAATCAGTATCACAACCTGAGTCAATGTCGATTAGCGAAAGAGTATCAATCTTACACATATGCTGGCAGGTTACACGAATTCTGGCGCATACTATATTCTTCATTATTTCTCTTTAGTACACCAGCGGAGCTGCCCTTATTGGAGGTAAGCAGTTGGTACGCTGTAATTCGGATGCATATCTCATGTTATCAATCCTTAAATCTTTCATGACTAATCGGCCATCAATAGCTTGTTTTTGCCTGCCCCGCTGAAAATATGACTTCTCTTTTCGCACTACTTGTGCTGTGCTCAGAGGTCATTGAAACCGTCTGAAAGAGCTTTATGCTTCTAAAATTAGATCGAAAGTCGGTCAGGTAACTTTGCGTCTTAAATTGCCCCGAGCTACCGAGTACTGCTTCCAGAAGAAAATCGGAACTGACGCTGCCTGTAAAAAAAATAATGTCAACATGTATGCGTCCAGTGAGCTTCATGAAGTCTGCCTGGGTGTCCACAGGTAAAATGTATCCAAATCAAGGCCATGCTGTCTACGATGAGTCAACTGCTAAGTAAATGGGTCCGATGAAGGGGGTAGGTTCAGCACCTGGGACGAATTTTATAAAATGCACTAATGTCGTCAGTCAGCCGTAAGTTAGCCCATTATTCCATCCGCAGTTATTTTTTTATGCTTGGACACCTTTACACTATCTGATTTTTTTAATACACTTGATTAACCTAACATCTACAAAAGTCCTTTTCTTGAATCCATTTAAACTTAAATAGGTCTTTGAAACAATTCATTTGAAGTTATTTTTTAATTTGAAGATTGCGTATACAGCAGAATGTAATGGAACCATAAATTTCGCGAGTGCTCATCAGCTGCGCCCTCTCGCTGCATAAAGTGAGTAAAGAAGGACAAAATACAACATTTGGATTCATACAGAAGGGGTTATAGAAACATGATCTTTTTCTATGACCTCTACTGTATGAATTCAGTTGTTGTCTTTGTCATTCGTTACTCACTTTATGCAGCGGGAGGACGCAGCTGATGACCACACGCGAAATTTATGGTTCCATTTAATTCTGCTGTATGTGCTATCTTCAAATTTGCACCTGGGAAAAGACGTTTCATATTTTTTAAACTTTATCTAAATATTTTAAATATCTGAACCTGCTGCATATGCCTGTCTTAAACTTTGTAAAGTAGATAGAAACATTGCTTATTGCAAATGGCTGGGAAAGCTTTACGTTTTCTATAGCGCATTCGCGCCCAGAAGCCTCCCTGGATTACCATTTCCAAGTAGTAACTAAAAAGGGGAATGAGCGTTCATTGGAATCAAAAGGATGTGGTAAATACTTACGGACAGACATTCTTCATCAATAGATGTGTCGCTTTTCTCAACTTAAAAATCCCTCCTTGCAGCATCCATGATTTTTTTTATCTCCGTAAGACTCTGTAGGCACATGCATCCAGGGTTCACCCCCCGCCCTTCCTAAACTGCGCTGATACACACGGCAGGGCTGAGGTTGAGTTTTTGCGTAGTTTGAGTAGTTCATTCTCTTCTGCGTCACCATGACAACTGTGCACTTTAGAAAATTGTGCTTTGCAATATTTTTCTGCCTATTTGCACTTCGTTCTGGTAGGCTTTTCGTGGGAAAACGTAATTCCTTCATATTGTTTAAGGAAGACAGCGATCATGAATACAGAAAACACCCTAGAGTCCAGATACATTGGAATTAAGACAAGCTGTGGAGTTTGTATGAGTAATTATGAAATTCATCAAAGTTTTTGGCTCGCACAAAAACGTAGGGATCAGTCACACAGTCTCCGCAGGAAGAGGACTCATCGGTAGTGAGGTTCACTTTGAGCTAACCTCCACTGAGATTAGAGCTGAGGTTCGTTTTAGGGTTAAGGTTTACGGTTAAGTTTACACATACAGTTCAGAGTAAGGTAAGGTTAGGGGAAATGGTTTGTAGAGGGTTAAAATTATAGTTCACATTACGGTTTGAATTACCTATGACTAAGGATTCCCGACGGAATCCGATACGTCAGGACAATAAAACTCTTGTTCCAGTGGTCGCATCTTTTTCTTCTTTTGAATTAAAGTATTTGTTTGGGTTGAGACACAGGATACTTGGCTCCTCCTGCAATTTTGCGTAAACCCACGCCCTATTGGTGGGACCATATGTAGCCAAAGTGCTGTCTGATTTAACGTTTACCGAAATTTCAACATGTCATTTCGAGGTGAAAAGATGTGGCGGACGGCTAAAAATACTGTCCCTCTTCAAGATCCGCTGCCCCTAAGTCTTGCATCGTCACAGGCAGCTGTTTCGGACTCGCTGACCTCAAGACTCTTGACCGACATCTACTCGCGCACACAGGCGTGCACGCGCGCGTGCTCAGCTAGTCGCGGATTCCCAAGGGTTACTTGAAATAACTACCCCCTTCATATTTCATATTATCGTAAATAACAAATTTCTACGCCCAGAAGTATCTTGTGAGGCAATGGAATCGAACCACTGGTCACTGGAATTCCGATGAAGTTGTTGACAATCTGAGCTATCAGGCTGACGCCACCAAATGCTGAAATGGAATCATCCGCTATATGTGAGTTCCAATGCTAAGCCAGCGCATTGAGCAAGCAATAGTCAGTCACATATAAAATTGCATGTGTTAGCGTCATTAAGATGCCTTAATCACTTCAGTTCGAATAAGCATTCTTACTAATGAAATATCTGAGATTTGAAAACCCTTAATTTGGTCATGACTGCATTCAAGTAGCTTAGTTCATTGTACACTCAACCGTGACTTTGGAAATTTCCGAATATAAATTGTCAACAGTCTTACCTTAAGGAGTTTGCTAACTTAGGGGACGATCTCTACTGAAATTGCTTACAAAATACAATAAATTTTTTTCGTGGATCCAGGATTCGCAGTGTGGTGAGAACGGCTTCGTTAGTTAAAAGGCGATGAAGTAATTCCGATGAGAAAACTCACCTTTAAGGTCAACATAATTAAACTTTCCGAAATAGCAAACAAACAATCAGCGAACGTTTTTTTCATACCAGGATGCTTGTAACAATACGTAGGCGATTGTGATCGACCTCGGAACTCATGTTTCCATGAGTTTTAGCCGGCTCCTTCAGAATGCCTTTCTGTGAATTCCAACTCCCGATCTGAAAATAAATACAAATGAAAGGCAAATTAGTTAAACATTTCTAAATGGGCGCAGAACCTCAATCCCTACTTAAATTATTTAAGTAGGACTGTAATCTTTATCACTGTGCATCCTTATTCCAAGATACTTCAGGCACATCAAGCTGCCGGTTTTTGAGGCTGTTTCTTGCTGAACGTCTGCGAAAAGTACCTTCAGTAAAAAAATGCTACTTCATTAGTATGCAGTTTTCTCATGCTTTTCCGATGCCCTTGACAATTCACATATATTTTACTTTTTTCTTGTACTCGTTTGACGGCAGACTGCTCCTTCTTCAAATTTTATGCAGAAAGAACGGATATGTATCCGCTTTGACATTTTATAAATACGATATTTTTAGGATCGTTAAATTTTCATTCGTGTTGCATATGGAACTTGCTTCACATCAATTAAACGATTTAAAATTTTCGGCTACCGAAGACACATGCATAATTTCCTTAAAAGAGAGTACAGATATTTGAATATATAGTGGCAGATAGGTGCACACCAATCAGATACAGGACACACTCGTCCGCCCTTGGTGCCTTCTGGGCTCACTCTCGAGCCACACCG